CCTACCTACCCACCTACCCACCCACCTACCCATCTACCTATCTACCTACCTACCTACAATACCTCACTCAGTTCCACCTACCTACCCACCTACCCACCCACCTACCCATCTACCTATCTACCTACCTACCTACAATACCTCACTCAGTTCCAGGGCTTCCTCAATCTCAGAGTGCAGGACCCTATAGGAGTCTATCTTGGGCCAGAGCTGCACAAGATGCCCTCCTTGCCCGCTCAGTATTCTAGGCAGCTATTTAGAAATGGATAGCCAGAGAGGGACTGAGCTCTAAAGGAAGCAGAGAAGGGACACATCAGAATTGTGGCTGGAGGTGCATTTGACACCCCTGAGGCATGAGTGGAAGCTTGAGATTATATTCTTTTATTTATTTATTTATTTATTTATTTATTTTGTGTGTGTGTGTGGCCAGCTCAGCCCACCAGGGGGCGGGGCTGGCTGGCATATGGCGCTGGGGGATCGAACCGTGGTCCCTGTGCTTTGCTTAGCTTGTTCCAAGTAGGTGCTTTAGACCACTGAGCCATCTCACCAGCCCCTTGAGATTATATTCTAATTGGTACCACCCAGTCCAGACATCCATGGGTCACCTGGGTGGATGACAGACTCCCAGTCCATCCCTTCTCCAAAACAGTCTTGTTTCAGAAGTCACAAATAAGGCAGGTCAATGATGTCATCCATATGCCCTGCTCCCCCACTGAATCAGTATTAGCTAAGCGACTACACTTGTGATCTTACTGCCTATCGTTTGACTCTTGTACTCAGACTGTGACTTTGCTGCATAAAAACCCAACAAAAGGCCCCAGTGAAACCCACTTCTGGGACCCCTCTGGTCTCTCAGGAGCTACTCCCACTCCCCAGTAAGCCTTTCCTTCTTCAGGGGACGCAAACTCAACACATCTGTAGGCTAGAAGGTAGGGAGCGTCTTTGGAAGGAGCACGAGGCTGCTTTCGTTTCACAGCTCCCCTCACTAGGCTGACTGGATACGGGATTGATTCCTCTAGGTAACCAAGTGCTGTCACTCGGCGTGTGCTGGTTGCTTGTGCCTTGTCACTTGAGCTTGGTTGGGAATAGGGAAGACTGTGATATCCTCATATTTAGGATTCTTTAATAGGACATATTCATTTTTGCAGGCTGGGCCTTTATTTCTGTTTTGTATATGCTACATTTATTTTATTTCTTTGTTTTGTTTTGTTTTAGCAGGAATCAAACTCACTGACCTTGTGCCTGCCAGGCAGGCGTCGTGCCGCTGAGCTACCTCCCAGCATATGCTGCAGGTAGGCTGACTTCTACACCAGCTGCTGACCTGTACTCCTTTCCTGACTTATTTGGTGGTCACAAGATGGCTTATTGTCTTATTTTAGTTTTTAAATTTTATTGGCTTATTGAAAGAAACAGTTGTTTGATCAATCTTGCATGCTTGTATCTAGTAACCTGAGCAACTACTCTGAAGATAATATGCAGTTACAAGATAGAACACATTTCATTCATTGTTCATTTTCTACCATCTTGTTTTGAAATTCTATATCATTTTTTTGTGTTGCTTTTTGTCTTTTTTTTCTCTTTAAAATAAAAACAAAATTTTAAAAAGCATTGCTGGGCTGAGGATATATAGCTCAGTGGCACAAGTGCCTGCCTGGCAAGTGCAAGGTCCTGAGATCAATTTCTGGGTTAAAAAAAAAAAAAAGCATTATTTCTGGGTATGAACATGAGGGTTTTTTAAATTTTATTTTGTATTTATTTATTTATTCTTAAGGGATTGGCGTTGAAATCAACGGATTGAGGGACTAGAGATGGACCTCGGTGGCAGAAGCACCTGCCTACCAAGAGCAAGGTCCTAAGTTCGATTCTCAGTACCAAAATCAATCAGTGAGTCAGTCAGTCAGTCAATGAACTTAGTAAATAAAATACCCTCTACCCAATGTAAGAAGGGACTAAGATTATGCAACTGACTGTGGACCCGGAGAACAAAAACAGTGGAAGAAAGACACATTCATTGTCTCTTCTAAAAGCGCTCTAGGACTCCAGCTTTTGGACTCTGTGACTTGTACCAGTGCCTGGTACATAAGAATCTCTTGCAGGTTCTTAGGCCTTCAGAACAGGACTGAGACACAGGCTTCCATGGTTCTCCAACTTGCAGAGAGCCTGTCACATGTCGTAACAGCAATCTCATAAGTCACTTGTCCTAATATATCTCATCTACCTACCTACCTAATGTATTGTCTATTGGTTCTATTTTTCTAGAATTCTGAATAAAATATAATCTTTAAAATATATTACAGTTTTGACTTTGCTATTTAGAACTATGCACTATTGTGAATTAATACTTATGGTATGAGTTATACAAAGGTAAACATTCCATTTTTTCTGTATCAATGTACATTAGTTCCAGCAGGAGTGAAACTCACTCAGGTTCTTTGATCTTTGGTTTCCTGCATGGCAAGGAGGTTGCGGTCAGCGCAGCTCTTGTCTTGGAGGCATGTCTTGCTAGGGAGTGGAGGCCCACCCTGGGCAAGCTTTTGGTCTTGGTTCTTTCCATCCTTGAGATGGTTAGGATGCAGTTCTTCCCTCTCCCTCCTTTACTGCTCTGCACCTGAGAAAGGATGCAACTTAGCACAAGTGTTTTGTCCAAGGAATTTCTCTGTGGCTGCTGGATTCCAGGACCAAGTTTCCATAATGGTGAATTTCCCTTTCCTTGGGACCCTTCCAGAATGAAAATGACCTTCACTTAACTCTGGGCCATTTTCTAAAACTGGTCTAGACTTAATACTCAGACTCTCAAAGAACAAATGAAAAAGTTTAAGTCCAAATTTATTTCCTTGTTAAGTGCTTAGGCAGAACTGGAAGTTAATTCCTTTCACTTTCCTCTTGCTTTAAGAAAGATGCTGGCTGGTTTTGATAGCATGGGACCAAATGACTGGGTCATGAATTCATTGATAGAAAAGACATTCCTAGGGAACCTTATGAATTTTATGACAGCTTCAGAGAAACAGGTATTGAGGAATAGCCACAGCCTCAGTCCCCAAAGGCCTGTGTCTCTCATCAGGATTTCTCTCCAGAACATCTGCTAGGCTGGCCACGATTCTGAGACATGCTAAGTAAGGTTCTGAGAAATGAAGGCCTGCAGCTACGTACGGCCCAAGGGGTTCCAGGATCACGAGGATGGGGGCCAAGGTGCACACTAGCAGCAGCTAGTCCAACTTTGGGAACTTCCTCACATCCCTAGTTCACCATTGCTGGTGCTGGATGGCTTAAGTTCAGGGGACCCTTTCGACTGGGCACAAAGAAGAATGGACAGGGACGCTTTCTCTGTTTCTTTTCCTCTTAAAGTATATACTTACCTCTGAAGAGTGTCACCTAGTTTCTTTCTACCTCCAAACCTGGCCTGCTCCTCCCTGGACCTTTAACAGTCTGTCCCCTTTGGGGGAGTAGTTACATGTGGCTAGCAGAACAGTTTTAGCAATCAGATGTGGCTATCAAACAACTGGCTATAAATGGCAGGCCTGTATAGGTGGCTATTTCAGTAAGAGAAACCTTCAGCCTAGGGTCTATCTTAAAAAGTCTTGTTTTCAAAGGCTAGAAGGATTTTTTTCTCTCTGCTTCTTCTTACATGGGATCTTGGTTAAGTGAGCTATAAAAAGTTCCAACTAGGAGGGAGGTCGGCACCATGTCGAGGCAGGCAAACCGCAAGAAAATGAGCTCTGAACTGTTCACCCTGACCTATGGGGCTCTTGTCACCCAGCTATGTAAAGACTATGAAAATGATGAAGATGTGGATAAACAGCTAGACAAAATGGGCTATAACATAGGAGTCCGACTGATTGAAGATTTCTTGGCACGGTCAAATGTTGGAGGATGCCATGACTTTCGGGAAACTGCAGATGTCATTGCCAAGGTGGCATTCAAGATGTACTTGGGCATCACTCCAAGCATCACTAATTGGAGCCCAGCTGGTGACGAATTCTCCCTCATTTTGGAAAATAACCCCTTGGTGGACTTCGTGGAACTTCCTGATAACCACTCATCCCTCATTTATTCCAATCTCTTGTGTGGGGTGTTGCGGGGAGCCTTGGAGATGGT